CCCACCCTTCCTCCCTGGCCACCCTTGGGACACAGCGTGGCTCCTGCCTGGAGGGGAAATCCTCCCCCTCACCTCCCATGGGGCTCGGAGCCAGCCAGGTCCCCCTGCATCCCTGCTGCGGCAAGAGGATTTGGGGTACAGGCTCCCAGAGCACCACCTCTTTCTCCTCGCATGCCAGCAGGGGTTTCTTTTGCAGCCCCTGGCTCTCTGCCCCCAGCCTGGCCCATTGTGTCCCATCCCTGGTGCTTCACCCCAGCCTCTCCCTCAGCCTCCAGTGCTTCCAGCAGAATTCCTTTCCGGACAGTCATTGCCGACCCTCGGCCTCGACGCCTCCGGGGCCAGTGCGCTGGCAGGGCTGGGCTTCCTCTTCCTGAGCCACCCCGATCCCCGCCACGCTCCCAGCTGCCTCCTTGCCTTCATCTGGAGCCGTGGCATCAGCCCTTCCCTAGGACATGAGGGTGCGGGGTCTGCCAGCCAAGCCCACCTCGGGGTTCGGGTGTGCAGCGGGGGGTGCCACCAGTGGGGCTTTGCGAGAGGGTGATTTACAGCCCTAGTTGGCACAGGGAGGGTGCAGAGGGTGGCTGCAGTGAATCGCTCGCTGCGAGGAGCGGGAGGCTGTGGCTACTTGGAAGAGGGCTCGGCCCCATGGAGGTGTGAGGGCTCCTGACCGCATCATCTGCCCAGACACACTGCTACTGCTGCTCCTGGCCTCCCAGCACCCACCCCAACACGAGTCTCACCCAGGCACATGCCCAGCATCCCCCTGGAGCCAGCCCCATGCTGACACCCACAGCAGGGGCATCTCCTCTACATGCAGCCAGCACCTGCTTGCTCACACCCCACTGTACATGCCAGCAGCCCCCTGACACCCACCCACCTCAGTTTCCCACGGTGGCACCACCTCATCTTATTAATTATAGGGTGAGTGCTTTGCTTTTCCACAGTCCCCCTCACCTGTGGCTCTCCAAGCATTGTGCAAATATTAATTACTGGTAATTAATTAAATCAGGCCTCCCCATCCCCCTGTGGAGATGCTGTCTCATAAACATGCTGATAGCAAACATAGTGTTGGGACAAGCTCTCTGAGCTGGGTGGGAGCTTCTAATTACCTGTTGCTAATGATGCAAACCCCACCTGCAGCAGTTTCTGTCTAATTGACCTTCCTGGAGGGTTAGTGGGCTCAGAGAGGGAGATAAGTGAGAAACCAGTGGAACCTGGTCTTATCCCAGTAAGGAACAATGGATGGATCTTTATAAGTGGCCCTGGCTGTCCTGTTCCTTGCAGCTTCTGCTAACTTGGTCCTGGTTTGTTGGTGGTACATAGAGCTGCCTGGGTGGAGGGCCTGAACAGCTGGTGGAGCTTGCGTTGGGTCAGCCTTTCAGCCCTGAGCCACCCTGGGAGGCTGTGCCCTGTTATTTGCATTGGTGTTGAGCTGCCGTCCCTCTGAGGTAGGTGGGGATTGTCTCCCATCAACCCCCTCCTGAAGGGCTCAGAGTATTTCAGAGGCAGTGTAAGGGCTCAGTGTTCCCCTGTCCTGTTGCTCCTCGGTTGGGATGCTGTGCAGGAAGAGGACAGGAAGGCAAACAAGGTTGTTGACCCTCCTGAAGTGGAAGGTGGGTGATCATGGCACAAAGGAGAGGGATTGCCCAGGGATGTTAGCAGGAATATGTGGATTGCTCCCTGCAGCATGGTATGGAGGATCTCCTTGGCAAGGTCCCTCTGCCGTCCTGGGGACAAAGCTCCTCTCTGCAGCCTTGGGTGTTGTTTGGGGGCACTGACTCTCTCCCACCCAGGTTGCAAGCTCCCTCGCTTGTGTATGGCTGCCACTGTCTGTCCCTAGGACTGTGCAGGGCACCGATCCCTGACCGGAGGTGCCACCTTAATCTGGATCAGTGGGAGATCTGCTGCATGCCCACGCAGCCCTGTGCGGAAGCTCGCTGCCTGACTATGGCCACTGTGGCTCCTCGGGCTCTGCAGATGAAGCACTAGCTGGGACATGGAGACATCTCCACAGGAACCCAGCCCTGGGCAGCGTTGTGTGCTGTGGGGTGGAGCACAAATGTGTTAATCACTGAACGAAACCAGCTTAATTTCCCGCTCTACCAGCAAAAGCAGGAGCAAACTGGGGTGAGATTAAGGCATTCCTTGGGCAGGTCCCACCCCCTCACCCCGACTGCTGCATCTTGGGCTGTGAGGCCACTAATGCTACTTACGTTATTACTGGATTATTTTGGTGTAATGAGCTTTGCCCTGCTCAGCTGTCCCTCTGCTCAGGGGTGTTGTGATGTGTAATACTTCCTGTGTGAGGCCACGAGGCGGGCAGCTGCCTGCTCAAAAACAAGCAGAGCCCCTGCAAAACAATGCATTAATGTTCCCAGAATGAAATTCCAGCATGAGCTGGAGGTTAATCACAAATCAGGGAGCTTTCGGCTTAGTGCTGAACAAAGCCTGCAGGCGGGAGGGCAGTGGTGCCTTAAGCCAGGTCCTGACCCATCTCCCTGGGTACAAATAGGAGTGACCGTATTGGTTTCATCTCTGCCAGCAGTGTAACACAGCTATGAGTATCTCTTCCGTCCTCGACTCCTTTTCCTCTGCCTTCCCTCCCATCAGACCTGCCTGTGCAGGGGCTTGGCGATGTGTTGCTATGGACACCAAGAAGTTTTCCCTAGAGACCAGAATCCTGGAATAAGTGAAGCTTGCATTTTCTGACATTGATTTTTTTTTTTTCCTTCTCCTTTTTTTTTTATTATTAATGTTTGTTTAAGTGTTGATTAATTCCCAGCTTTTCACACCCCCCTCCCTCCTGCTTTTCTCTCCGAGCTTTGTGGATTGCTGTGGCTGTGTCCCAGGGCTTGGCTTCTGCTTCGTTCTCGGCGAGGGTTTGAGCACAGGGTGCGTGGGAGGAAGTTTAAGTGCTGTAACTCTTGCTCTGCTGGAGACCCCTACAGAAGAGATCCCCCCATTTATTCCAGCCTCAGGAGATCCCGTTGGGTTCAGGCTTGAGTCTTCCCGAGCTGCTGCAATGTTCATGGGGGCCCACCAGCAGCAGCTGCTGCAGGAGGTCCTAGAGCACCTCTTCCCAAGGCTTGTGTCTCCCTCCAAAACTTGCCTGCAAAAGCATGGGTGGGGATACCCTGCTCCTTTTACAGGTGTCCTTCATTGTATTTGGGACCTCAAGGTGATTTAGATCTCGACTAGTTAGCATCTGCTGGTCTGAGCTTCAGGCCTGACTCCTATTGTATAGCTCCTCTGTTGGCACTGCAGTACCCTTTAGTACCTCAGGTACCTCTGTTGGCCTGAGAGCTCTTGGCCTGCAAGAGCATGATCCCAGCAGCTATTGGAAGTTCATGTCAAGGCTGGAGCCTGAGCTTTGCAGGGGTCTGGGAGGTGCTCACAGGAAAGCACCTTGGCTTTCCTAGCAGCCCTCAGGCTGGACTTGGCCAGGCAACCAGACCCCAGCGGCTCTGGTCCCCAGCAGCTCCATTGTCCCAGGGAATGGGGCATCGGTCAGGGAGGATCAGCCCATTTTCCTGGTGATGAGCAGTGCTGCACGTCCGTAGAGCCTGTGTCTGGGCACTTGGCATATGGGATGGGATTTTACTGTGAGACAGTCTCAGTGTCATTCTGACTTCTCTTTCTTTGCTTTTGAAGCCGATAATGGGCTGTTTCTGTTTGCCGTCACATGATCTGCCCCACGGTGAACGAGGAGCCTCTCTGTTGAGTGATCTCCTCTGTCCCGTGTCCCTTCCTCCCTGCTCTGGAGGGAGTTCACAGACCAGGTTTCAATCAGCTGCTTCTCTTATTCCTGGGAATGCAGTTCAGCACTGGGTCAGAAAGTCTCTGGTCCATTGAAATCCTTCCCTTCACTGTTCCAGTTGCCCAAATTGCAGCTCCCTCTCTGAAATCTTAAAGCAAACAAGTTCTTTGCTGCTTGGCCCTGCCTGCAGCAGTTAGCATGGTGTCAGCCAGCCCAGAGCTCCTGCAAGCAGCCGGTGTGTGTGCAGGTGGGGCAGGGAAAGCAGGAGCTGCTCTTTAAAATGTTTTCTGTCTGTGTTTGAGGATTGTGCTGAGACAGCAGAAGGGCCCCTTGCTCCTTGCCCCTGGAGTGTGGGGTAAGGCTGCAAAGCACCAGTCCTTCATGGTGGTTTGCAGACCTGCTGGAAGGGGATGAGGGGTGGAGGTGAGTCCCAGGACCATCTGCAGCAGGAGAAGGTCAGCTCTTGCCCATAGCTCCAGGGGAGCCATGTTCCCCTCCCATGCGGCCCTCAGCTCAGCAAGGAGGCTGCATGTGCCACGGTGCCCTCTCCGGAAGGAGCAGTGAGGCTGGGATGCTGCTCCTTGGCTAGGAGGTGAGAGTCCCACCAGGGCCAGACACTCAGTTGCTGTGATGTTTGAAAGCTCCTTGAAAAACGGCTTCTTCATCCAGCTCCTAACCAAACAAGTGAAAGCTCCAAAAAACAACAGTTCCTTCCCATGCTGCTGCCAAATCTGTGCTCGCTGGCGTGTTTCTGAGCAGGTCAGCAGCAAGCCGGGACTGCCTGAGGGCTGAGTGGAGCATTGCTGGTGGGTAGCTGGTCCCTATGTTGTCCTTCTGCACTTGCATAGGAGATAGGAGAGCATCCAGGGAGCTCTGCATGCCTTTGGGGCGATGGTGCAGGTGAGCGGGTTGTCCATGCAGGGACAAGGAGCAGTCCCCACTGCACAGCACTTAGGACTGCAGACCTGTGAGCAAAACGTGGGTAGCGGCCCTTTTGTGGGGACAGGGAAATCCCAAATCCAGACAGGGATGTGCACACAGCTCAGAGTGACGGGGTGCTGGCACAGTCTCGGCTGTCCTCTGCCCTTAGCGATGGCCTGATGTCTGGCTGCTGCATTGCAGTCACCGGAGGCCTCTTCTGCAACTGCCCAGCTCCGGTCAGTGCCACGATGTCCGGCTGTGTCCTGAGTGCTAACAGACCCTTTCCCTCTCTCGCTTTCCCCTCCCTCCTTTCTGCCAGCAGTTCCCTATCAGCAAAATCCCTACACCCCTGGGAGCAGCTCCAGCGTCATCCAGTGCTACCGCTGTGGGGACACCTGCAAGGGCGAGGTGGTGCGCGTCCAGAGCAATCACTTCCACATCCGCTGCTTCACCTGCCAAGGTAGGACGGTGCCGCCCAAAGAGCTGGTGGCCACGTTGTCCCACAGCCCTGGGGGCTCTTGGGAAAAGAAAAGTTGGGGACAGACCTGCCTGGCCCACTGAGATGTGGTCACATACCTGGGGGGTTACAGTTTTCCGCAGGGATGGATGTGGTGCAGTGTGGGGAAGGAGGTAATGGCGCAGGGCGGTGATGCCACTGCATGGTGCCAGAGCCAGCAGGCTGTGAACAGGTGTGGTGGGGACACGAGCACCATCACTCCCTGTGGGCTGCCTGAATGCCACTAGCCTGCACTGCACCCGTCCCAAACATGCCCACAGCCCATCTGTCATCTGAAGGGGACACCACATCCTTCAGCTGCCTGCCACCAAATCGAGAGGAGGAGGAGGTGTTGCCAGCCTGGCTGAGAGGCAGCGAGGTGGGGGAGATGCCCAGAGCAGCTCCTGATGGAGCTGGGTGATGGATTGCTGCCACCCGCATGTGGGTGCGACTGGTGTGCCATGGGATGCCGTGTGCTGCAGCTGGGGCTGGCAGAAACAGAGGGCAGGTTGCTCGAATCCTCCCTGAGCACAAGAGGAGAGCTGCGGAGCTGTAAAAGCCAACGGCCCAGAGCCGATGCTGAAGGGCT